CTCCGCGTGACAGCAGCTCGGGGATTTGAGTTGCCTGCCGGCCCAATGAATCAGCTGTGAGCGGCTGCCAGTGGCCCCCGCATCCCAGCAGCTGCTGAGGTCGAGGAAGCCAGGCGCCTGCTTCGCGTTCCACCAGATGAGCTCATGCTGGACTCTGGCCGGCTTGGGACTGAACCCAATGCCCCATGCATCACTCTAGGTATCTTGAACCTTGTATTAATTTCTGTGGTGGGAAGGGCGGGGAAGAAGAGGATCCTGTGACCCACCAAGTGGATTTGTTTGTGCTCTACCTGAACACACTGGGAGAAAGGGGACTTAAGCTGGTAATACGTGGCAGAATGAGGCACAGTGAAAAACAGCTATATTCACTGTTATACCACCAACGCACAGTGGGTACTAGAGTATAGGGACTTTAGCCAACAGAGCGTGCAGGTAGGGTGCAAGGAAGCAAAGGCTGAGGACCCTCGACTCAGGAGACCCCAGAGGCTCCAAATGAGCCGCAACTCGTGTCACATGAATAGCACAGAAAGATGAAGGGTTTGGTAGGGAGCAGTGTAATGCCCGTGAGGGAAGGGGCTGTGATGTGCCTTAAATAAAGGAATTGTGGTATGAGGCAGGGAGGAATAAGGACCCCAACGGGTGTCTCCAGATCATTATGAGGACTATGGGAAAGGCTGTGTGAGGTCAGGGCAGCCATTTCTCTCAAGGGGAAAGGGACACACAGTCCCTAGTTCCAATGCTACTCCAGGCAGGGCCCAGTGACTGCCTGGCGGATGAGGCAGAGAAGATCTGCACTTCTCTGCAAGGCTGCCAAGGTCTCCCGGTCAGTAACGTGCTGTCCAAATGCATGGACTTCAAAACACAATGACAAGTGAGCTTCTAGAGCGAGGGCCTCCCTGGGGAGGATGGGCTCCGTTTCTCATTGTCCTGAAACCTTCTCCAAGCGTATGAAGGAATTATAAATAGCATGATTAGGGATGGATTTTTTCTCCATGAATTCTCCCAAGGACCATCCCCTGCAGATCAATTGCTGTTCCATGGCCTAAACCTAGACAGCAGGCTACTGATTCCAAAGCCCAGAGGGTCCTTGTTTCACAAAAAAACCCTCCACAGCCCCTGTGGGTTCAGAGGTAACAGAAGTGCCCAAGACCCTGTGCCAAGGAAGGAGGGGAGGGAAGATGCTAATTCAAACAGAAACTCTCCTCTTTCAAAGGGTGGAAGAGGCGGAATTCTTGTCTGTACAAATAAGCCTCTCACTGGTAGAGGCCATCGCAAAGAGAAGGAAAGCTGGGCTCTGAAGTCTGGCCACAGTTGTGCCCGCCCTGGCACCGGGTGGCCCCCAAAGACAGTGGGAGGCAGGGAGTGCTCGGTTATTAAACAATCCAGAGCCAGCAGGAAAAGGAGGAAATTGAGATCTATGTGTGTGTGTGTCTTTTTCTCTCTGCCTTTCTCTGTGTCTTTCTCTCTTTGCCTGTGTGTCTCTCTGCCTCTCTGTCTCTGTCGTCTGAGTGTGTGTGTCTCTGCCTCTGTGGGCATGTGTGTGCACACCCATTCATCTACGGGGTACATGTGCAGGAGGATACACATGCATAAGTGGAGGTCAGGGGACAAACTCAGGAGTCCCCACTTTTTGTTAAGATGGTTCTCTCGCTGGCCTGGCACTTCACCATGTTTGGCAGGCTGACTGGCCTGCAGACTTCCAAGATCTGTCCCTCTTCGCCTTTCTTCTCTTCAGCAGGGTGCTAGGCATGCCACCTCTCCCGGCTTCCACATCAATTCGGGAGAGCCAAACTTAGCTCCTCACCATCATGAAACAAATATTTTGCCAACTGGGAGAACCACCTCCCCAGCCCTTCTTTTTCTGAAGAAAAAGCCCATGCTGGCCCTGGAACTCACTATGTGGTTAAGGATAACCTCAAACTCCTGATGCCCTGCCCCTGTTTCCCAAGTGCTGGATTACGGGTGTGTATTATTACACACAGTCTTTATGTGGTGCTGGTGCAAGAAAAGGTGGGGGTCTAAAACCAGCTTTGGAGGAGTAGGGAACTCAGAAAGGAGAGAAAGAGAGAGGCAGAACACCTCGACAGCTGCACAGCCCTTCTGGGCGCACCCCTCCAGCGCCCCTAAGGATGGTCCCTTCTGCAGGTCTGGGACTGTGCCCAGTCTTGCATGAGTGGCACACTAGGGACAGAAGACGAGATTGAGTGCTGCTCAGCAGAGGAGCAGGGGAGCAGACAGGCCTGACCACGTCCCCAGGGGCCCATCCCGGGGGAATTTCCACGTGGAAGACCCTCACTTCCAATGCATTTGGAATAAGGTTCAAACCATTTTAAAAAATATGCACCTAGGGTCTTTGGCACTGGAGTATACTCCAAGGGAGTAAGACATTTGGATCAGCTCAGATGGTGAGACACAGGGATATAGAGACCCAAATCTGGGCCCCACTGAATATGTTAGAGCCTCAGTGACACCAGACAGTGGCCCTTCAGGGTGTCACACAACCTCCAGGGTCACCAAGCTGCAGATGGACAATTCACCTTCAGGATGTCCCCCCTTCCCCAGATATCTTAAGTAGCTTCAAACCCTCTCCTATTTGGTCAAAGGAATACCCACATGCACAAGCTGAGGCGTACCACCAGCATCTTTGGCCTTGAGAACCCGAGTTGAGCTCATACTCATGACCATGCCTGGCAGCCATGATGGGCCAAGGCATGATGGGTACTGTGGAGAGGCAGCCCTGGAGTGGGAAGAAGGAAGACCCGTTTGTGGATCCACCATCAGATATGGCAGGGGGCTTCCTTGCTCATTCACTGCTAGGAGCCCAGAGAAGGTATCTGTCTCCCTGAGGTCACACAGCAATAACCTCTGGGCTTGAGGGCCAGTCACAAAGATGGGTGTTGGAATCAGATTCAGCCTAGAAGGCCCAGGAAGCTGATTTCAGAAAATATTGCCAGGGAGGGAGAAGTGCAGCTCTGGGCACGTGAGCATAGGTGGGTGCCTGGAAACTGACGTGCAGTTAGAATGTCCCCGGCCCTTTATTTCCCTGCTATTAAATACTTAGTGGAAGATTGTATTTGTCATCCCAGGGTGCGGTTTGGAGTACACCTGCTGTGAAAATGAGCTCAATGGAGCCAGTCCTATCACCACCCTTCTGGACGCCTGGCGTTATGGCCTAGAAGGTTCTTCACTGGTGCGCTGATGCCCCCTCACCAAACAGAATGGAAGTTAAAGCGATGTGGGGGTGGGGGTCCGTGTTGTTCTGGGTTTACGCTCTCTCTCCTCCACCTTAGGAGATCTAATCAGTTCCCAGCTCAGGGCCGAGCCGGCGGGAGAAGGGCCATGGCCTGTGCTGTAAGTGGTTTCCTGATAGAACACAGAGAAGACAGAGTCTGGACGCCTGAATGCAAGAGGACTCAGAAGCCAGCAGGTAACCTGTTGCTATGTCCATCGCGTTGGGTTGTGATGAAGGTGTTTATGGGGTCTGGGATCTAGCAGATGACACACAATGACACTGGACTCAGCTGCCTAGCCCAGGAAATTAATATTCTCTCCCAGCACCCCACTGATGTCCTCAGCAGGGCATGGTTGGAGTTGGGGGGGCTTGGCCTTTGACCCTGAAGCTCCCTTGGCTGCACCCACAGAAGCAGAAGGGACTGGACTTGGGTAGAACTGGGGGACGTTGATCAAGACATGGAGCCTGGGTCTGGAGCCCCAGTTCTATCTAGGCCCAGTACAGAATCATGGGGTGAATCTAGGACATGAGGAACATCAGATATCAGGACCCGAAACTATCTCATAGGTCAAGGCACAAGGAGTGTCCTTCTATACAAGCTACCCAAGGGGCATGCTATATATGCACCCGGGGCAAGGAAGAAAAAAATACAGAACCTATTCATTCCAGCATGGGACACACCTCCAAGAGTGTCATGAAAATGTTCCTGACAAGCAGTTCTGAGTTGGGCTTTGTGTTCAAGACTGAACAGTGTGCCCTTTGCCACCTTTTTCCAACACCTGGGGTGTAGGGCCCATGGGTCTACCCCCGCTCCTGGGGTTCATCTTGAGGACAGTTTCTGGTCATTCTGTTTGTTCCTGTGTTCCCTCTGCCCCACCTGGTGATTAGCTATAGGGTATTGCCACTCCATCTTGGGTGCGGCAATTTCCCCACCTGCCTAGGTGAATTCCTTATTAGCAGCTAGGTGTAAAAGGATTTCTCCAAGGTTGAATAACTGATCTCCTTTCAAATGACCCAGGCCCTCGCCCAGCTCACGTACTGTTCCGAGAGGGTAACGCAGACGCGGGTGTTACACTGGAGCTCCCGTGTGACCACCACGGACTAGGAGGAAGAGCCGTCCCTCCTATACTGGCCATTCTGGAGGTTCCTTCTCAGAGTCTGCCCCCTCATCAGGGTCACACCATTGCAGACCAAGTTCAGATAACTGGGACCCGGGAGGAAAGGCAGGTGCCCACTGACTTCCTTACTTGCAGACACAGGGTCTCTCGGGTACCCAGCATGAGGGTCTTCTCCCCAGGCACTGCTCTCCATGACTGGGCAGCACCCGTGGGCACTCTCCATATCCCTTCCACGGGTTGTGCCTAGAGCCCCTCAGATAATCACCTGCCACGCCTCAGCTCACGTAGGAGCCCTCACTCCAAGCTGCAGAAGGCCAGATGCTAGGGAGGCTGGCCTCAAGTCGATGGGACCTGGGGCCCCAGTCACCTTCCCAGATGAGAAGCTGACATGGAGGCCTGGCTGGGACACTGGGGGAGAAAAACTGGCTTTCCATTGCCAGCAAGTCTCTGTATCACCCCAAAAAGTAAAAGGCAGGTCAGCAGGCCACAGGGCTGGACTGGGGGTGCCCTGGAAGGAAGCTGCCTCATGGCTGTGGGGAGCGGGGAGGTAAAACAGGGAGCCAGCATCTGTCTCTAGGTTCCCAGCTGTGCCGCACGTTGAGCCTCCTACCCACAGGACCCTCCATTGCCGCTGGGTCTGGAGGCCAAGGTAATAGATAGCACAGCAGCTTTATTGACCAGACTTATCAGCAAGAGCACAGCAGTGGGACCTGTACAGTCCAGCCCCAGCTGGCGTCCAGCTGCCTACAGCCAAGTTTGGGGACCTCCTATCTCCTCGAGTGCCCCCAGAACCTAGCCTTGCCCTTACTCCAGGCCCTTGCTGAAGCAAAGGCCTGCAGGGTATGGAAAGACAGTTACATAGAGGTTGGAAGGCAGGTAGACCTGGAGCGGGGCAGCATGGGGCTCGTGCTGCCCCAGCAGCTGGTGGAAGTCATCCGTGCAGGGCAGTGGGGGCGTGCAGGTAGACAGGCAGACAGCCAGGCTCACCACACAGAGCACTTGTGGACAGGGTTCATGGGAGAGTCCTTGGGACAGTGGAAGGCCCGGCCGAACTCCTCAAACTGGGACACACTGCCCAGGACCCTGGGATGGGGGGAGAGACCCCAGCAGTGTGAGCTTCTCCAGCTACCCCAGCGCTTTTTCTGGGTTGACCCATGTCCCTTCTTGTCCCTCTGCCCCCATGCAGATACAAGGAGGGGACTGGCTGCCCAGAAAGGCAGGCGGGCATACCGGTAGTGCTCAGGTGCGTGTTTGTCTGTCAGCACCTGCAGGTAGATGGACTGCGACCGTCGCTTGATGCACCAGTTCTGGGACCCAGCAGGCCAAGGGAAAGAAGGGAAAAAATGGGACCAAGTGTCTACTGCTTATTCCCTGCCCCTTCCCCCACTTAGGGCCCAGCAGAAGCCACAGGCCATCATCTCTCAGCGGACAGGCAGGTGATGGGAGACAGGCTGGACCCTGGGAATGGCCGTTTGAGGCCAGTACATTTGAGAATGAGCCTGGACACCGCATTCCCTACCCAGCCCCTGCCCAGCCCCTGCCCAGCCCCTGCCCAGCCCCTGCCCAGCCCCTGTCAAGCTCTCCATCCAGCCCACCTGGGCAAAGGCAATGAAGAAAAGCTGGTTGTGTGTGTACTTGAGCCGGTGCAGCGGGTGCTCAGGGCCGTGCTCCCGAACCCACTTCTGATAGGCCTGGCGGTGCAGAGCCGGGAGCTGCTGTGACCACTCTGCTGCATGCTGTTCCTTCTCCGTCCTCCCCAACCAGCCATCCTCCCCTACCAGAAGACGAGCATCTCCGCCCCCCAGCTCTATACTGCCCATTCTGTCATACTCCCGGCCTGTCCACCTTCCTGCTTTGGCATATGGATCCCAGAATAGCGCCACCCCCTCCAGGCAGTCCTCTCTGCTCTCCCAGGGAAGGTGGCACCTGCTCTGGTTTGTTTTCCCCTAAAGGACCCTGGTCTAGGCAAAGCATCAGCAGGATGAGAAGGGAGGGGCTGTGTCCCTTGTCTGGAGTTCTCCACATCCACCTGTTCCCCAGCAGAGACAGAGAGTAGGCTGGGTGGCTCACATAGTAGGCCAGCTTCAGGCCTCCCATGTCTGCGATGTTCTCACCAAGTGTGTGCTTCCCATTCACCTGCCAGAAGGAAGAGGAAGGAGCCACATGGGGCCTGCTGGCCTCCCACAGATCTGGCTACCCTGAGCCCCTCCCCCTTTCCCAAGGAATTCAGGAACCGCTTTTTCCTCCCCTCGCTCCTACACATGTACCAGGTGAGTCTTCTTGGTGAAGTATGTGGCTGTTCATGAACGTGGGAATCCAGAGCATGTGTGCAGGGACCTTATTTGGGTACATGCAAATGTGCGTGAGCGTGCATGATTCCAGTTTGTGGCCAGCCAAAGGGGCGCTGACGACAAAGGTGGCAAGGTCTCACCCGCTGGTTATAGACGGTGAAGTTGTCATAGAGACGAACGATGCACTCGGCCTTGCGCAGAAAGCGGCTGTAGGAAGCTTCTGTCCACCAGTGCAACAGGTTTCCTGAGCGGTCATACTGGCCCCCTGTGGACAACAGATGGACATGCCAGCATGCCAAGAGTGAACCTCACTCTAAGGCCAGCCTGGGCACCTAGTTCATCCCTTATAACTCTCCCACTCTCTGAACTCCCCCTCTCCCAAGACCCTCTCAGGTCTTACCCCAGTCATCGTAGCCATGGGTCAGCTCATGTCCAATGATGGTGCCGATGCCCCCATAGTTCAGAGACCTGGACGCACGGCAGCAGGTTAGGCCCTAGCCCTCACCTGCCCTCTGAGAGCCCCACATTGCTGCCCAGGTCTCTATTGCCCCTGGCCAGGTGGCCAGGGAGGCCTCAGAGGTCTAGGCATCTCCAAGGTCCTGGGTATGTGTCCCGTAGCTTCCTCACAGGCTCCATGAAAGGTACCAGTGACCACATGTCTACCCGTGTTCTGGGAAATAACATCTTACAAAGTTGATGGAGGCTGTGAGCTAAAAGAAGCAGGAAGGAAACTCAGGAATTCACTTGAGGGCTAGGCCTCCTTCCTCATCTCTAAGTTCCCTCGCTTTCTGAGCCTAAAATGGGTAGAAATATGCTAGTTAGCTTTGGCTGTAAGCTTGGCATAGCCTAGAGTCATCTGAGCTGGTCTCAGTGGGGGATTGCCCATCTCAGATTGGCTGGTGGCCATGTCTTTGAGAGACTGCCTTGAATGATGATGGATGTGGGAGAGCCCAGTCAGTCCACTGTGGCCAGCACCATCCCTAGGCAGGGGGCCCAGGATGTATAAGAAAATAGGCTGAACAGGAGCCAGAGCAAGCTAGAGAGTGAGCAAGTGACATTCCTCCACGGATTCTTGCCTGACTTCCCTCAATAATGAACTGTGACCTGGGAGTATAAATAACTAAACCCTTCCCTCCCCAGGTTGCCTCTGGTCAGGGTGTTTTATTGCAGCAACCGTTATAGTCGAGAAGCTGTTGCATACAATTTCTTCCAAATAACCACAGTGACATGAAACGGGAGTATGGGAACCCCGGGTCTGTGGCTGAAATCACTCGGTTCTTCCCCCCTCCCCGTGCCCCTATAACCTGCCACCTGTAGACAGGGCTGGCGGACCCAGCTGCACCCTTTAAGTTCCCTACTTACTGTGGGAAGTCGGGGTCATACAGGGTGGGCTGCAGGATGCCAGCAGGGAAAACTAAGAGGAAGGTATGGTCAGTGGGAAACAATGCACTTTCAGGCCCACCCCAGGGCGGGGCGGGACACGTCTCCTTACCCATCTGGTTCTTGTTGGGTAGATAGTAGGCATTGAGTGCCTGTGGAGGGAGCAGCCACCTGTGCAGGGAGGCCAGAGTCACCTGGAGGGTGCATGCCACTGCCCCCGGGGTTCCCGATAGTACAGCTAGCTTCTAACAGAGCATCCTCTGGCCTCCCTCGGGCTAGGCCCTCCCCTTGGTCTCCTCACTTGGCCTGTGTACCCAGCATGCCAGCACGTCCTGCTTCCCTCAAGGCCCTCCTTGACCCCTAGCTCAGGGCCAGGCACCCACGTGGATTTGTCCACCTCCTGTCGAATCTTCTTGACGGACAGCTGGATGCTGAAGCGGATGCTGTTCAGGATGTTCTTGAAGTAGGTCTTCTCGTGGACCTCAAACTGCAAGGGGGATGGGCAGTGCTCAGCCATGAGCTGGGGAAGGGCCAGGCCTTTGGCTGAAGAACCGTGACTCCTCCCAGGCTCGTGGTGGGTTTCTCTGGGGCCTGGGGGCAGCGGAAGCCTGCCTACCTCGTATTCTTTATCTACGGCCTCGGGTTTCAGCAGGAAGTCCGGGTAGCCGACCATGACCATCATGTACTGGAGCTGCGGGTGAGAGGCAAGGGACCCGGGCCTCAGGAGACAGCCTCTCCCAGGCCAAAAATAAAAATCAAAAGAGCTTCAGACTAGCCTGGGACTGGGATGAAGGCAGGACGGAGCAGAATAGTCAATTCCATACAATCCCATAAAGGTATCTTTGCCTCTTTCCTCCTCTTATTCCCTGGACCTGATACCCAGTAGGCACTCAAACAAGTATTTGTGGAACCAACTGCTGGGACTCAGGCCCTATCTCACCTTGGCCCGAGCGGCTGCCTTGGTCTGGGCGTCCATCCAGTCCAACTCCTCTAGGCGCTGGCCGAGGATGAACTTGATGTCTTCCACCAGCTGCTGTACCTGAGGGTCAGACACCAGGGAAGAAGAGTCAGCTAAGAAACGAAAGCTGACCTGACCCCAGCCCCTGGTACCAGAGGTTTTCCTATCATCTACTGCCACTCCTTCAGTGCAGGGCACCATGCTGAACGCCAAGGAGAGACAGGAGAGCAAGCTCCAGCCTGAAAGAAGGAAGCACCCCAGCACAATTCTGACCAGTTCTAAGATCATGTCTCCCAAGCACGGCTAAGGAGAACCCTCAGGGGAAAGGCAGAGCAAGCCGCCTGCAGCTGACTGCATGCAAGCTTCCCAGGAGAGGAGAGGCCCAGGGAGGCGCATCCTAGATCCTCAGGGACAGCTGAGCCCTATGCCCAACCTATGCCTGAGCCATAAAGGGAAGCATGGAGTCTTCCATTGTTCACACCAAGCTCACCACCTGAACCCCCACCCTAGACCCAGGGCAGCCTGACCTTGGCTTTACTGGCAGCTGAGAAGTGTTCATGAACAAAGAGGGCACCAAGAGCCATGCCAAAGTGGCGGTTGGCCTGGCCCAGGCAGACTCGTGCCAACTCCTGGGGCTTGTCACTGCCCTCCATCTCTCTGGCCAGCTCGTGCAGTGCCTCGCGGAATGGTGGGGACAGGTGCTCACTCAGAACCACCACCACACGCCACACTAGGTAGTTGTGTAGGATCCTGGAGGCCAGGTAAAACGGGATTGTCCAGACAGGCATGCAGGAAGGTTACCATGGTCCTACCTCCCTGTGCTCCCAAGCTAGGATAGGACCCAGTACCCTACCCTGCCCACTAAGAAGATAAAAGAGGTCAATTTAGACATGCAGAAGTCAACTTTGAAATGTTCCAAGCCCCACCATACAGCAGAAGATGTTCTTGCTAATAACCCTTAAGCCTGCCCCTGATGGGCCAGCATGGTTTCCTACTTTTGTATGGGACACCAGACACTCAGAGATAGTTGTCTGGATGGCCTTCTCTTCCTTCCCTGGATGTGCAGAGACTAGCAAGATTTCCCCCAAGGATCGACCCATGTGCAGTATGACTTTAGCTACAAATCCCTGAGTGATGTTCAAACTCTCCATCCTAGGAGGTGAAGGCCGCCCAAGGGAATCCCAGGCTATTCAGTCTCCCACAGGGGAGGAGAGGGCACCAGCTTCCCATCCCAGCCCTCCCACCCGCCTCCTGGCCTCCTGAAGCGTGGCTTCAGCAGAGACAGGGTTTACAAAGGTCGCCCAGCCGGCAGCTCTAGGTTGCTGAAGGAGAGGCCTGGAGCCAGGAGTGCAGGGGTGAGGGACCTGCAGCCTCACCTGCGGGGTGTGGAGCGGATGAGCTGGGACACCTGCTGCATGTAGTCTGTGGCCAGCAGCACCACCTCCTCGTCCTCAGAGAAGTCCTCCTGGAAGATCTGGTCCAGCAGCCACTTCCACTGCAACTGCGGGGCCAAGGACAGGAAAACAAGGGATAGCAAAAGGGTCAAAAGAGAGGCAACAAAGGCACGTCGGCATGGGGGTGGGAGTGTCATGGAAGACCTCAGACATGCCTAAAGAAGGTGACCTGCCATCCCAGCCCTTGCATCACCCATCCGCCAGGTCTGGGGACACTCACATGGGGTGTGATCTTCTGTAGCTGGCCCAGAGTCACTTTGTTGTACGTGGAGCTGACATCTCGACGGAGATCATCATATTCCGACACAGAGATCTGGAGTGGAGATCAGACAGACCCGGGGCTGACCTAGGCTGCCTGCGCAGGTCCCAGTCCCAGGAGCTCCCAGCCCCTCCTGCTCACATTGGCCAGCCTCTGTTCCAGCTGAAGGATCTCTTGAGCCTTCTGCTCCACGGCATCTGCCCCCAATAGTCTGAGAAGCCGCTCCATGAACACCCTGTAAGCTGCCAGGATCTACACAGGACAAGAGTTCCTCAGTTAGCCGGAGGGAGACACTTACCCCTGGGGCTCTTTCATGGGGCCACTTCCTTTCCAGAAGCCCAACCCCATACCCAGGCACCTTTTCACTCTCCTCATCTTGAGCTAGGTACAGGGTTCTTTCTGGCAGTGTGAGCCCATCCTGGTCAATCTGAGGAGGGAAACGGGAACTACAGGTCAGAAGTGAATGGCCAGTTTTCCAGCGTTCCCATCCAACTGTCACAAAAGAGGAAATGAGTCAAACATAGATTCTTTGCCACAAGCTGCAGGAGCACAAGAACCAAGCCCTCCCTCCTTCTTTAGAGGCTAGCCAAACCTTGTCGCTGTTAGTCCTTAAGACGCCTCTGTGGAGCCCACCCTTCACTCCTTCCCCAACAGCCTTCACTTCCCCCACCTGTAGGGACACCATGGGGCGCTGTACTGGGAGTTGGCACCTCTGGAATTTCTGGTCAACCCCAATCTTTCAGGGCAGTAGCCCGCGGTTCCCCACTCCCGGAGCCCCGCCTGCCTGAGGACTGGGAATTGCGGCTCCCGCGGCTCAGCTAAACACCGCAATTACTCCAGGGAAATTACTTGCGCCCTCCTCCCGCGCTCTGCCCGCCGCGCGCTCCGCACCTCCCCGCGCCCCTCGCAGTCCGAACCCGCATCTCGGGCGCGGGATCGAGCTTGGGGCACGCGGCGCCAAGGGTCCCAGGTCTCAGGCGGAGCGCAGGGGTTGCGGTGGTGGGGTGGGGGTGACACACTCACGCGGATGACGTAGCGCGAGGAGTTCCTGTCGTCCAGGCTGACAGTGAGCGAGAAGAGCGCGGCCGCGCTGTACACGCCTTGCGCCTTGTACAGCAGTCGGTTGAGGTCCCAGCGAGCAGCTCCCGGGCGATCGGCCGTGCCGCCCAGGTCCCAGCCGCCGCAGTCCTCGATGACCTCGAGCATGGGCCGCGGCCCGAGCCTCTCGATCTCGCGCATGTCGAGGCACGAGCGGAAGAAGGCGCGCACCTTGCGCTGTGCAGCACCGCCGGGGCCTCCCGCGGGTCTCGCCAGCAGGCGCCGCAGACGCTCCTCGTTCTGCTCGCCGATGGCAGCGATTGTACCGTAGGTGAGCTTGTCGTCGGGGATGGCGTGGCGCCGCAGCCAGCCCCCACACGCAAACGAGTAGAAGTCCTGGCACGGGTCGATGCTGGCGTCCAGGTTGGCAGACAGGAAGCGGGCGGCGCGCGCGAAGGCCTTGCGCTCCGGGCAGCCCTCGGGACAGGCTCCGCCACCTCCCGCCGCTCCCGGGCCCAGGTACTTGAGTGCCAGCATGGCCGCCAGGATGGCACAGAGGCCGGCGGCGAACACCAGCCCCGACAGCAGGCACACCTCGCGTCGGTTCCAACGCGGCAGCCCGGCCCGGGTCCCGCTAGCGCTGCGCCCTGCGCCCCTCGGGAAGCCTGGAGGCAGCGAGGTCCCTCGGGCGCCCCCAGAACCACAACGGCTTACATACTTGACTTCCTGGAACTCATCGTAGTGTGCTGTCATGGAATATGGGGCCTCCATGGTGCTGAGGCTGTGGCCACACACGCCTGGTTTGGTCGTCTATATGCTGTTTCTGTCTTCGGGCTTTCTGATGGGCGCCCACATGGCCCTCGGTCGCAGCTGTAGGAAGGGAACATTAGCAGGCTCAGAGAGGCCCTAGAAAGCGAGGGGGACCCAGGAACAAGGATGGAGTTTAAGAAGAAGGAGGCCACCTGTGATCCACAACCAAAGCCTGCGCCTGGCTTCACTTCGCCACCCAAGGAAGAAGGAAAGAGGAGGGCTCAGTAGCCACCAGCTTGTACGGGAATAGTAGCTTTTTAACCTGCCTTCCCACATCCCCGCATGGTCACCGCAGAGTTGGGATGCCCTGACACAAGGCAAAAGAGCACCGGGCACAAAGTGGGGCTTCACTAGCAACCTGTTTCCCTTGCCTTTGCCTTTCTTGCCCATCGTCTGCTCCAGCCGAGGCTAGGTGGGGGAGGGGGGAAGCAGAAGCCAGAGAAAGGAAGTGTGGTCAGGGGCGCCTCTATGCGGACCCTGAACCCTCCTTCAGCTCTCTACACTAAAAAGCTATCAGACACCCAAACTTTGTCCTCGGGGAGGTCTGCAGGACCACTCCCAAGCCAGCTTCTGACTGTTTCTCTTCAGTAGCCCCCAGCCCACCAGCCTCTTCCCCAAGCAGCGGCCCACTCCAGACCCCACCCCTCCCCACCCCCGACGGCCCTGACCGGAGGTTGGTTTCATCATTTGCCACCCATCGCAGCCCTGGGCCATTCCTGGCGTCAACAGGTTCTCCCCAGAACCCAAAGTTGGGCGAAGTTTCACCCCTTCTGCTAAGCTGGCCCTGAGCTCGGAGTCTCCTGCGTCGCGCGGTGCAGCTAGCGGAGCTTAAGAGCCGAGACCTGGAGTCGCAGCCGCAGCCGCAGCTGGAACCAGAGCCGGGAGGACACAGACAAAGCCAAGAAGCTCGGCTCAGCGACCGCGGTGGCCCCAGAGGAGGCTGGGATGTGTGGCCTCGGCAGCAGTGGACCCAAATGACACTTACCCGGCGGGTGCGCGTCTGGGCCAGGCGAGGACAGATGAGTCGGGAGCAAATCCCGGCCTCAGCTGGAGCAGAGCTGTACTGGCTGCCGCTCCGTGTGCCCGCCGCCTCCTCTGCCGCCGCGCCGCGCCGCCCGCCGGCCCCGAAGGAGGGGGCGCGCAGGCGGCTCCACCCTCCTCCTCCCGCCCCCTGCACCCCTCCTTCTCCCTGCTTCCCTCCGGGCTACCTGTCAGCTCCCGCAGCGCGGAGGTGGGGATGACGACCGCCGATGTACGCTCCTGAGGGTGGTGCACCAGTTTCAGGCTCCAGAACTCCGGAGTCCGGATCTGTCCCGGGAGGAAGAAGCGGCAGTCCCTTCTGATGAGGTGCCTCCGCTTGGAGCCACCTACAGTCTGCGGGTAAAGGGGTTGAAGCTAGAGGTCTGGAGGCAAAACTGGAGGCTATAGGGCCGTCTGGGCCGAGCCCACAGCAGCTCAGCCCAGGGAGGACTCAGATGAGCTGTGGGAGGCGCAGGTGAAGAGCTTGATCTTGCCCCGCACTCTGCCAGGCGCCCTTAGCATCAGCCCTTCTTTGTCCTCGTGTTCACGCTTGCCCCGTCTGGGTTCTGTGGTTGGTGCAGTGCCCTTCACTTAGCTCTGCTGGGGAGGCTGCAAGAAGAGGCTGAGGCTATGGCCTCCTCAACCTTATTTTTTTCTCCTGCCGTCACTGCCGGGAAGTCCTGGGCCCACATAGGGAGAAGGGCCAAGAAAAGGATGCTGTAGGCTGGGAGAGGCAGGGATCTCAGCCCCCACTTTGCTCAGAACTACTCATGGGATTACATGGGGTGACTTTACCCGGCCTTCCACCGCTTCTAGTTGTACTTCCTTTTGAAATCTTGTCACTCCCTCCTCCCAAGAGGCAGAAGCATCTTTGCCCCTCCACTGTATCCACAGGGTAAGGCCAGCAGGTGACAGAGAACTAGGAGCTTCCTAAAGGACTGGTACTCTGCTCTCTCTGCCTTGCCTTACCCATCTCTTCCTGTGTCCCCAGCAAACCCTGTGGCTCCCGCCTGCAGCCCTGGCCTAAGCAGTGTTTCAGCATTGGTGAATACCCATATGATGGAATCTGTGTTGAGGTGGGAATGAAGGAATGTGTCCAGTGTCCTGCCACCCTCCCCCGGGGATGTTCTTCAGTTGGCCACCCAGTCACAAGCCTTCAGTAGCCACCTCTACCAACCTCCTGCCTGTCCAGTCTGTCTATCTCTTAAGTCTCTCAGTCAGGCCATCCTAAGGTCCTCCTCTGCCCCATGCATTTCTTCTCAGGTCCAATTAATTCTACGGAGGGGAAATGGAATTACGCAAAACGCCATGTTTCCATGAGGGGGAGGGGAGGGCAGGGCGGTGGCAGAGTGGCTCTTTGTGCTTTTAATCTGCATTTTCCCCTCAACATTCCATCTCCAGGAGGATAATTTTCCAGCCCTTTCAGGCCCTGATTGGTATCATTTCTCCAGCAATGACAGCTTTTATTTTCCCCGAAATGAATGCCGTGAAATTTCCAAGAAATATAAAAATGGATATTGTCTCAAGAAGCCGACTACTCCAACAGGAAGGCACAGAGGCAAAACCTGCTTCCCCTGCTTCCCCGGGGACTTTTCACTGCACCCACAGGAGAATGGGGACCCTGGTCCTCAGTCCCTTCCTCTGTTTCCTGCCTCGGAGTCAAACCTTGCACTGCCTTCATCCGGGTACCGTTCCCACGCTCAGCTACCATTGATCATTCATCTAGACCTCCCAGTCTACCTGTTCTATTCATCATCTTGTTGTCCACACAGAGTAGTCCTGAGTATAGGATCAGTCAGCTGGAGTTAGCTGAGAACTGGGTCCTCTAACCAGCTGGTCCTCGGCACCCTGACATGTTCAGTGGTCAGGCTGCCCGAAGAAACAGTCCAGACACTCATCCCTTCTTTCTCCTGCCTGTCTTCAGAAAAAGAAGGTGAATGGGACCCAGGGATCTGAACTCCAGCTCCTTGCTCTCTTCATTTCTGGGGTTCTCAGAGATCCCCCTTCAATTACTAGGTGATTCCAGAATTGATTAGCGAGAGAGTGACAGGGCACGGCCATGCCTACCTGAGACCAGCAGAGCCCCGAGTGAAACGAGTGGGATGCTAGAAGCCCAGCTTGGGGAGAGAGGGCTCGTGGCAGCCAGAGAAGGCACAAAGAGGTGCAAGGGATAGCAGAGAAGCATTTAGAAGCAGTTCCTTGCTTCCACATGAGCCGAGAGCTCATCCCAACAACTCTGGTGATGGGGCATCTCTGGGTCTGTGTTCTAGGAAGGAACACCAGCAGCCCCATCTCTGGCCCTCTTTGGGACAGCAGCATTCACACTAAGGACTCTTGAACATTCACCAAGATGCTGCTTGTCTTGCCCTAAAGGAGGGTTACAGCTTGAAGCCAGACCAACCAGTCTCAGACCTAGTTATGGTCAGTCCCCACTCTATACCATGTGGGATAGAACCTTGGCCCTGCATTGTTGTCAGCGCCGGGATACACCCCAACCTTTACCCTATCCAGTCAGTGTCCTAGTCTCCCAGCCGTTCTGTGGTATCTCCTAGGCCACAACCAGCTTCCTGCCCTCCGCCCGGCCTCCCCGGGCTCATCCATCCATTATTCACGGCACAAAATGGATTTTTAATTTGAGAAATGAAATGACTCTCCCTAGTGGCTGGTGTGGTGTGGTGGGAGGGGGGAGGAGAGTAGAAAGGTCGGCTCCTAGAGATGACTACACACTGCTAACTATGGAGTTATGAAGGCCCACCACAGGTGATGGAGGTGCCACAGGTACATGCACCCCACCCACCGCCCAGACCCATGCCTCCACTCCAGTCACGTTGTTGCTGTCGTTGGTTGGGTTAACTGTGCCCATCAGTTCTGCCTCAGGCCATTGTGAGGTCTGGGGTTAGCTAGAGCGGCCATCCCATTGCTTTCAGAGTCCTGTGCCAGCCTCCTGGCAGGTCTGTCACCTCTCAAAGTCCTGGTCTTCACTCTCTGGTCATCTGGCCTCCCCAGGATTCTACCCATCCAGTAATTCGCAGCTCAAAAGGTATTTTAAATTTGTCTTTCATTTATTATTTAGTTAGTTAATTTTTTTTTGTTTTTTTTTTGTTGTTGTTTTTCGAGACAGGGTTTCTCTGTGATTTTGGAGCCTGTCCTGGAACTAGCTCTTTTAGACCAGGCTGGTCTCGAACTCACAGAGATCCACCTGTCTCTGCCTCCCGAGTGCTGGGATTAAAGGCGTGCGCCACCACCGCCCGGCTAGTTAGTTAATTTTTGCAACAAGGCCTCGCTATGTTGCCCCAGCTGATCTGGAACTCCTGGACATAAACAATCCTCCTGCCTCAACCTCCTAACTAGCTGGGATCACGGTCAGAGCACACTACCATGCCTGGCTATGTAATGGCTTTTGGGGTGGGGTTTTATTTCTCTGTGAAGCCCTGGAAGCCCTGGAACTCAAATTGTAGACCTCGAACTCAGAGATCCACCTGCCTCTGCTTTTTTGAATGTTGTGATTAAAGGGTACGCCACCACACCTGGCTATGAAATGGCTTTTCAGTTTGAGGAACCACTGATGGCTGGGATGACAGGCAGAGACCAAAGAAGCCTGGGATCTCCTATATCCAATCTAATTTAGGTTCCCAGTTGAGCTCCTATGTGAAGCCCTGACTTTTCACTGTGTGTCCTTTGGTCTAGGCAGCTGCCTTGGCTTCCCTTCTGGCCTCCAGTCTCCAGAACCCTGAGTCACCCCTCACGACTGAGCTTAGTCACGTTAATATATTCCTTGAGGCAGTCATCCCCTACCCCCACCCGTGTGTGTGTGTGTGTGTGTGTGTGTGTGTGTGTGTGTGTGTGTGTGTGTAGACCAGACACCAACTGCAGGTATCCTTCCTCGGGTACGACTACCTACCTTATCTTTTGAAACAAGGTCTCTCATTGGCCTGCAGCTCACCAAGTGGACTACGCTGGCTGGCCACCTGCAGTGGGATCTCCCTGTCCCCATCTTCCTGGTATAAGTTTTATGAGCATGGGTACCACACCCAATGTTTTTGTCTTGTTCTTGTTTTTAAGGTGGGTTCTGAGAATCAAACACTGGTCCTGATGTGGGCGTGGCAAACACTTTACCAGCTCAGCTCTTACTCCCCAGCCTGGAAGGGGCCATGTCTATGTCTTCTCTGCCCTTCCCACTCTGAATCCTCCCGCCTACTCTCCCTCCTCTCCATGATTAACACAACTGACTCCCTTATACCTCAGGACCTTAGCACTTACTGACTGGAATATCCGCTGTCACCTCTTGGCCTGTTGTCAGTCATCTTTCTGACTTTCTGGAGCATTCCCAAGTGGCATCCTCAGTCCTCAAGTCTGGGCAAGTGTTATCTCCGTGGCCTTGGGGCATGCCCTCTGAGTCCCCGCCACGCTGCTCTTGCGCGGAGCATAGCACAGAGACTTGCGAAGTGGGCTCCAGGAATCCACTGGTACATACCTTCCCAGCACCAAGTTCACCACCACAGCCAGCCTCTGGGGATTGGGCTCATGTTCTCATGCTTGCACGGCCAACGCTACCAACTGCGCATTCCCCACCCTCTGGAACAATGTTTTATCTTTTTTAAAAAAAACTTTATTTAACTTTATTTCATGCACATTGGTATAACTGTGTCAGATTCTCTGGAACTGGAGCTACAGACAGCTGCGAGCTGCCATGTGGGTGCTGGGGATTGAACCCAGGTCCTCTGGAGGAGCAGTCAGTGCTCTTACCCACTGAGCCATCTCACCAGCCACCCAACGTTTTATCTTAATAAATACCTGAGTATCTTCTTGTTTCAAAAGATTTAAGCCATACACATATGTGGAGGACCAAGCTGAAGAGTCTCCTTCCCATCTTTTCCCATCCTCCTGGGCCTGTGTATCCATAACCCATGTGAGCCTCCCTTCCTCCTTGGTGTGGCCCTGCACCCTTGGTCATGGCAAATGAGTGTCCTTCCTCAAGCCCACTCTACTTTTGGGGCTGTTCCACAACTGTGCCCAGAAACTCGGGCAAGGGCATCCCGAAGCTGGCTGGGACCCAGCTGTAAAGTCCAAGACCTGAGCTGCAGGTGCTGAGTCTGGGGAGGACAGATGCTAGGGCTGGCTTTACCCAGAAACCTCTGAAGGAGGAGCAGACCTTGTGGCTGGGACCTTGACCTCCTGTCCAGATACCCTGCCTCCAAAGGCCTTTCCTGGATCTCCTGGTCTGAGGTGGCCCAGCCATCTTTCATCTGTTGCTCTGGGTACATTTTGTACCAGATTTGTCCCTATCTGACATTCTCTTGTGACTTGCTCTGTTCCCAGTGGCAGCCTCCTTTCCTCAGTCTGTTGGAAGCAGATTATTTTCCATTGTACCATTCATCCTGCCCAGTGAGGTTTGGGTACCGGGCATGGGATCAGGGTGGGGCTGGACCAATAGAACAGGCAAGGCAGTATCCATCAGAGGTGGAAAGGACAGGTTATTTGGAAGTCAGGTTTGCAAGCCTGCAGCTCTGACAGCTAGGCCTCTGGGGCTCACCGCTTTGATGGAAAGGTAGACACTCCGCTCTTGCTGCAGACAGAAACAAGGCAGAGGATTAGGAGGACTGTGTGGCATTGGACCTCAC